AAAAAAAATACAAAAGTATTTTAGTAACAAACAATGTCAATTAAAACATGTCTTATATATGATACAATGTCGAATATAATAAAACGAATAAAATTTGAACCAGAAACGATATATGGGATCGATTTTTTTGTACCATAAATCATTATAGGATCTAAAAATGATTCCAAAAATCGTTTTTGGGAGTTCGGGGATTTCTGAGTCCAGAAATTGATTTCTGGATCCAGAAATGGATTTCTAGAATTTTTGGGATTTCTGGGACAGAAACGATTTCTGGACCAGAGATTGATTTTCGGCCCCAGAAATTTTTTCTAGGATTTTTGGGATTTTTGGACCCAGAAATCGATTTCTGGTCCTGGAAATTGATTTCTGGTCCTGGAAATTGATTTCTGGTCCAGATCAATTCTGGTCCAGAAATCCTAGAAATCCAACAAATGATTTCTGGGACCAGAAATGATTTTTGGGTCGAGAAATCGATTTCTGGTCCCGGAAGAAATCAATTTCCGGGACCAGAAATCGATTTCTCGACCCAGAAATCAATTTCTTGATCCAGAAATCATTTCTGGTCCCAGAAATCATTTCTTGGATTTTTAGGATTTCTGGACCAGAAATCAATTTTTGGGACCAAAAATCGTTTTCTTGATCCAGAAAACATTTCTGGTCCCAAAAATATTTTCTTAGATTTCTAGGATTTCTGATCCCAGAAATCGTCGATTTTTGATTTATTTTTATATATAAAAATAGGTAGTAAGGGTATTTTAGTCTTTTTAAGTACCAAAATGGCTAAAAAAGATGTTTTTTGCAAAATATGGCTAAAATTTGTGTTGGCCATTTAAACATGGCTAAAAAAAAAATCACCGATTGCATTATTCTCTTTGAGTTTTCAAAACAAAATTATTTAGTTCATACCTTAGTATAGCCTTTGATCATCACAAAAAAACAAAGGAGTTGAAATGAATGCCCTGTAGATGCTTTCTTCCATACTAGCAATGATTAATAATTATAACTTTGGATATCCTTTGATTGATCACATTATAGGAAAGCAGAGTTGAAATCAATGCTGCTCTTTTCCATTAACGTGATGATTAATACTACCTCTTGTTCATTATAAATGTCGTTTTGACTTTTGTGATTCATCCATTTTATTATGTATCTAGACATTAATATGTCTAAATACATAACAAAATGGATGAATCAAAAAAGTCAAAACGACATTTATAATGAATCGGAGGGAGTATATAGTTGTCACCTTGGAATACCCTTTGATCACATAGGACAACATAGAAGTAGAAATCATAGTAAAAATAAACTTTTAACCTAAAAAATGAATTATACAATGACGAATGTCGGAAGGGATATGGAGTACCCTTTAATCACATAGGACAACAGAGAAGTTGAAATCAAAGTCTTGAGGCAGCTATTTTAATGTAAATAACCACAAGTCACAGATGTGTGACATTCAAGGAGATTACGAATGCACTAGAATCATGATTGCTTGAAGATATTAATGTCGACACAAAATCTTCTTAAAAATCTATTTCGGTCTTGCATTTGACACGACTTAAATTTACATGATAAACGCGTAATGTACACCAGTGTCGAAAAGAGAGAATTTACGGCCTATATATAGATTTGTGTAGTGCACGAAGACATAAAACAAGCAAAAATCCTATAATTTCAAGTAAAAAGACTTGAAAGTTAAGGAGCCATGAAAGCTAGTACTCGTGTTCCCTCTCTTTATCTTCGCCAGCTTGTTTTGGTACTCTTGCTCAGCCACGCATTTGCCATAAAGAAGGTAAGCTTATATGCAAGTTTGCAACTACACTAACGAAAATTTGTTCAGATCTACATTGATAGTGGTTGTAATAATAGAACTATAAATCTTATCCGTGTGCGTTTTTACCACTAATTTTCCTTGATGTTATTGATTTTATTTTTCTCGGTCCCGTTGTATAGTCATATGTTGTGTACTTGGGAGCGCATTCACATGGAAAAGACGCCACACAAACTGATTATGATAGAGTCACTGAGTCTCATTATGACTTTCTTGGTTCATTTTTGGGAAGGTACGTAAAGTGAAGTTCGTTCAGAAATCATCAAGATCAAATGGAGTTTTGTAGTCCAAATTTCTCATTTCCTTCATAAAAAATTCACTACAAAAATATTGTTATATTCCAACGAAAAATTCTATGGTAATATATTTCAATGAAAATTCTAACGGATATTCCAATGGTATACCTTCCGTTGGAATGATTCCAACAGAAATTCCAACGAAAATATTCTGTTGGAATGTATTTTTCATTGGAATTTTAGATGGAAATTGATGATTCCAGTGGCTATTATATCCGACGACTTTTCACCGTATAAATTTTCGTTGGAATATGCAATTTTCATTGGAATTTTTATTTCCACCACCTTTCGAAATTCTACCATTGAAATTGTTAAAATCCAACGAAGATTCTAATGGAAATTTAATTCCAAGGAATTTCCGTTGGATTATTTCTAACGGAAATAGTAGCATTGAAATATCCATTGGTAATGCCGTTGAAATTGTATTAGAATATATTTCTGTCAGAACTTCATCATTTTCTTGTAGTGATTGATCGGTTACTATCTTTATTCTTTTTATACAGCTCGGATAAGGCCAGAGATGCCATTTTTTACTCTTACACTCGACACATCAATGGATTTGCCGCAACTCTCGAAGAAAATGAAGCACTTCAAATATCCAGTAAGTGGTTTTTTTATCTATATTTTCTATATTTATTATTTCTTTTACAGTGTTATCTGTTCTAATAACTATGTTTAATGTATTACATGATAATTCTCAGAGCATCCAAAAGTTTTATCTATAATCTTGAATCAAGGAAGAAAGTTACACACGACGAGGTCGTGGAATTTTCTTGGTCTCGAAAATGATGGAAAAATTCCGTCCGACTCTTTGTGGACGAAGGCCAAGTTCGGAGAAGATGTCATCATCGGCAATCTCGACACGGGTTTGTTTTCTTATAACTTGCCCAATGTATCATTTACACTCTGATATGCATATGTTTATTTATATGTTACTAGTAAAGTGCACGTGCGATGCACGTTGTGTCGATTGATTTTTGCGGAGTAAGTTTGTAAAATAAATTAATTTATTTATTAAACATATCATTGCATAAATGAAGTATAGAAAAAATGAGATCATATGTGATTTTTTTTATTTAGAATTAACATAATGATTTCCTCGTATAAAAATAGTGAAATAATGTTTCACAAACCCCAACAAAAATATGTATAAAAAACACAAAGATTTTCTTTTTATTTTAGTTTTAACGTTCTCGTAAAAACATTCATAGTCGTTGGAGAATACATCAATACTATTGTAAAATTTCTCTTAATTAATTTGGCAAAACGCCAATTTTATTCAAACACTTAAGAAACATTCGGACCCAACATATAGTCAAACTTCATGATCGTATGATCTTTATAACAAAGTACTTCTACTAACAAAGGATAAATATCTCTATGAAATAACTAACGGTGTCACTAAAATTGCTGATATTTTTTATCACTGTATAAACTACTACATTCTTCTATCTCTAGATATATTGGTATCTACACATTGATGTTTCGCCCCACGAGGTGGGAATGAATTTTATCTCCAAATAAAAGTTGACTCTCCAAAATCTTGGTTAAATGTACTTCTCCCGAGGTGTTAAATTATTTTTTGGAATAATCATACATTACCTGAAAGTGCCTCTAAAATAATTGCACATATGTTCAAGCACAATACACAAATGAGATTATAAATATTTCTACAAAAAGTGACAACTTAATTCTAACATTCAAAAATGTTTTGATACTCCTACATTTTATTTTCAGTGTTATTTATCTAGAATATAGACGAATAATATAATCTATTTTTTGCAATGATAAAACAAAACAATGAGAAAATATTGAGAAGCATATCATTTGTCAAAATATTTGACAACAGAAGAATTAGAATTCTATTATATGACAATACTTTTGGTCATCTGTAAAGTTTATTATTATGGAGTTATGATTAAAATATACATCATGTATACAAATTTTTAGATTTTTTAATTATTTAAAATTGAAAATAAATAATATATGATCATTATTTATGAGAACAAACTTCTTATAGAGTCCATATATTTAAACGTTAGCAACAAAAAAAGTAGTAATTTTAAAAGACTTTTTGTTTGTAAATATTGGTATTCATACTTTTCTAAGAAAATTAGCATGTTTTCTTTTTCTCATTGCATTACTATTATATTATTTGTTTCTTATTCTATAGACAAATAATATTTTTTTTTCTAAGTAACTAAAGCACATTTATACGTATTATGTTATTTTTTGTATGTGTTTTATATAATGATGGTATCAAATTATCTTATTTATTAGGCTACAATTAATATAATCACATAAGATTAAATGTAATTTAATATATTTGATAAAATTGTACTTTTTATACGAATTATTAGATTAAAAAGTTTTTGAATTTTTTCCAATGTCTGATAAAATATTAATTAACTAAGTCATTTTCATAATCACTGAATACATATATGGTACCACCATTATAGGGTTCATTTTGCAGCAGTAATTGACTTCACATGGCTAATGTTATTTCATTTCCTTTCTCTGGCCTAGCCTTTCCTTTTATGTATGACTTCACATTGCTTCGCTTCGTTTGTACTTTAAGGTGAGAAAAAAAATGTATAACCATTAGTATAACCATTTGATTCACATTGTTTTTAAAAAATGTGTTATTTCCAGTTTGTTTTATATTTATTAGTACGTGTCACAACTTAGTTATTATTCATATTATTTCTTATATTTAATATTTTCTTAAAAACTTTATCTTGTTCTTTCACATGTTCTTAACTATAGATTTGTCAAAAAAAAAGACATAATGTAAAGAATAGAATTTTTTCGATCATCTGCCTCATTATATATAAAATATTTGTATATCATATATTATATTATATTTAATTACATTGTTTCATTAATATTTTAATTAAATATTTACAATTCATAAATTCACTAATAATATTGTCGAATCAACTTTTGTTCATAAAATTTTTAAAAATAGATTATTTTCATTGATTTGCTTATGTTGAATTGAGAAAAGTTATGTTTTTTAATTACATATAGGGAGGATATAAGATTTCTTATATTTTTATACAGTATTTATTGAGTAATTGTGTTTACAATTTTTCTATTAAAAATATATTAAAAACGTAAACTTTTTAGTTCCAATAATTTTTTTTTTTTAGAAATCACTCATTATTTTATCCTTAGATTACCTATTAATTTACCAATTAAGTTACATTTCTTACATATTAAATATTATATAATTAAAATATTTCTTGTTTTATCTGTTCAATATGATGCTTATATATTATATTAAGAAAACTAATATAGTAAATAATTAAAAAAGTTATTTAAAATTAGAATAATAAAGATTTTTTTTTTCTAATCTACATGTACAAATGTACAAATAACTATTGTCTATCACTTCAATTTACACATAAAATTAATAATAACGAAAAACTAACAAGCGTTTAACAACTCAGTTCGATTACATCGATAAGTATATTTTTAGAAGGTTTATATTTAGTTATAATAATTATATTATTTTTGTTTATTAGTTTGTTTTATATTTATTAGTACGTGTCACAACTTAGTTATTCATATTATTTCTTATATTTAATATTTTTTTAAAACTTTATCTTGTTATTTCTCATTTCTTAACTATAGATTTTGTCAAAAAAGACATAATGTAAAGTATAGAATTTTTTCGATCATCTGCCTCATTATATATCAAATATTTGTATATCCTATATTATATTATATTTTTAATTATAATATTTTTAATTAAATATTTACAATTCATAAATTCATTAATAATATTGTCGAGTCAACTTTTGTTCATCAAATTTTTAAAAATATATTATTTTAATTGATTTGCTTATGTTGAATTGAGAAAAGTTATGTTTTTTTAATTATATATAGGGAGGATATAAAATTTCTTATTATTTTTTATGTAGTATTTATTGAGTAGTTGTGTTTACAATTTTTCTATTAAAAATATATTAAACACTAACAGATTAATTTATTAATTTTAAAATATTGTATTCATATATGATAAATTATGCATAGTTTTACAATTATATATATTTGACTAAAGGTTTATAAACATGCATTATAGCATAATAAGCTATACATATAAATTAACATTCATGTAACCCATTGGGCATATAAACACTACGACTGCTATTATCATTTTTTTTTTTTGATTGATTTCATTTTTTAAATACAGATTTTGTTTTTACGCAACAAAAAGCATGTAATTAAATAAATGGAGTTTGAAATTTTTAAAACTCTTCGCTAAGATTGGGCCATAAATTAGATTTTAAAGCAAGTTTATATTGCGTACAAACTATACTTCGCTGCCAGCCAATTGTTGGTAGAATGTTAGAAAATTAAACTACATAGTAAGGTTATTTTAAGCATATCATATTTTTACAGATTTATTGGCACTTTTATAATAGTATATAGATATAGATAGATAGATATATGCAAGGGAACTACATTTGTTATATGATAATAAGTATTGTGTTTTAACCAGGTGTGTGGCCAGAATCGAAAAGCTTTAGTGACGACTTAATAACTCGTTCGATCCCATCCAAGTGGAAAGGAAATTGCTCAAATGAATTTGATCCCAATTTTCGATGCAACAGGTTGTAAATTGAAAACTAATAAGTTATAAATGTTATTTTGCAAATTTTCATTCACATTTTTTCCAACAATTTATTCATGCATATATATGTGTTGATTTTTCGATGCATGAAGTAAGTTGATCGGTGCCCGCTACTTCTACAAGGGGTACGTCGTTGAAGGGGGACACCTCAATGTCACCGACTACACGCCGCGTGACTATCGAGGCCATGGGACCCATACCTTGTCGACAGCTGGCGGCAACTTTGTTTTTGGGGCCAACATACTTGGCTTCGGAAATGGCACCGCCAAGGGTGGGTCCCCCATGGCCCGCGTGGCAACTTACAAGGTCTGCTGGCCGCCCCTCGACGAAGGAGAGTGCTTTGATGCCGACATCATTGCGGGCTTCGACATGGCAATCCACGATGGTGTTGACGTGATCTCGGTTTCTCTCGAAGGTTCCGGTGGCCAATTTTTCACAGACGGTGTTGCCATTGGGTCGTTTCACGCGGTGAGTCGTGGGATCGTGGTCGTTTGCTCGGCAGGAAATTCGGGGCCAGACCCGGGTACGGTTGCAAACAACGCGCCTTGGCCGATCACGGTTGGCGCAAGCACCTTGGATCGGGAATTTCCTAGCTATTTAATCCTAGAAAAAATAAAATTCCAGGTAAATATGTATCTATTATGTTTCTCCCTTTGATGTTTATACTCACTGAACAATTGAAATATAAATAAGTAAATATACATTTGTGTGATAAAGTAGTAGTTGATGCGCAGGGACAAAGCCTTTCAGACATATATCTTCCAGAGGGAAAGCGGTTCCCCATAATTTATGCGAAATATGCAAACGCCTCTAACGCAACAGCGGAACAATCGTAATTTTATTTTCCTTTGAGGAACATGATTTCACTCAACAAATTTTGAAAAGGTTGAAATATGAATGAAATATGGGATAAAATGTAGGGAGTTGTGTGAACCTGAATCTCTAGATGCTAAAAAGGTGAAAGGGAAGATCTTGGTTTGTCTAAGGGGAATCACTGCAAGGGTCGACAAGGGCCGGCAAGCAGCCTTAGCTGGTGCTGTGGGAATGGTTTTAGCAAACAATGAGGCCTCTGGGAATGAGATCATAGCCGATGCTCATGTCTTGCCAGCTACACATATCAGTTACACAGATGGACAGGCTCTCTTATCTCAAATGCATAAAACAAGGTGAACAAAATCACATATATAGCTATATTTCACCACATGCCTCCATAAAATGACATTGTAAAAAATATGATGGCAAAGCAGGTCTCCCATGGCTTATATCACCAAACCAAAAACTCTTTTAAACACAAAGCCAGCGCCGATAATGGCAGTTTTTTCATCGCAAGGGCCAAATCCCGTTATGCCGGAAATTCTCAAGGTTTTGAGCAATACTGAACCTTGTAAATTCTTGTTTAATTAATTAGTTATAGTTTATGTCTTAATTAAAATTTCTTGTTCTCAGCCGGATATCACGGCACCAGGAGTTAGTATCTTAGCCGCATATAGCAGAGCAGTAGGACCGACAGGCGAAGACTTTGACACGCGACGTGTGACGTTCAATATCGAATCGGGTACCTCAATGTCTTGCCCGCACATTTCTGGGGTCGCCGGCCTCTTGAAGAAGCTCTACCCAAATTGGAGCCCGGCTGCCATTAAGTCTGCCATCATGACCACCGGTGATTTTACCTACATTAATTAAGTCACGAATTATATGTGCACAAACATGGATGCCTATGAATAATTCAAAAGAAATCATAAGAATAATCATTTGTTATGTATCGTATTTTTTTCAGCAAGTACACTCGACAACACTTGGTACCCAATCACCAACTCCAGCAACTCGAGCGCTACACCGTTCAATTATGGAGGAGGACACATTGATCCGAACCGGGCAATGGACCCTGGACTCGTTTACGATTTACGAACAACAGATTACCTTAAATTGTTATGCGCACTCGGTTATAACCAAAAGCAGATTAAGTTGTTCTGGAATAAATCATTCTCTTGCCCCAAACCGAATATTAGATTCATCGACTTCAACTACCCCTCGATCACAGTTCCCAACCTCA